TTTGCACTGGGTGGGGGGCGGGGCGGGGGGGCACACACATGTGCAGGCATGTGACACACAGTCCCAGGGCGGGGGCCACCCCAGCCAGCACAGCCCAGCAGGGCCCCGCTATTTCCAGGGCAATTTGCATTCGCCTTCAGTTCCAATTAGCACTTGTCGACTTGAGCTCTAATTTTAATTAGCTCAGCAACAGCTCTGCCATTAATTAGCCAGCCCCCTTAATGAGCCCTCCCCCTGCTAACGAGCAGACGGGCCTGCTCTCTCCCAGCACCTGGCACGCAACGTGGCCGGGCTCTTGTGGCTGTGCCCATGAAGTGGCCCGGCTCGTGCTACACCCAGGGCAGCAGCCAGGCCCCAGCACAGGGTCTGGGGGTGGCGGGAAGGCCTCCCCCCAGTGGCAGATGCACAGCGCGTGGCCTGCATCCAAGCGATGCTGGGGCAGCTCCTGGCTCCATGCCATGGCCTCCCTGGATGCCAGGTCCGGGGGCAGGCCGCTGGGGCCATGGCAAGCTCCATGCTGAGCCCCTCTAGCGCCAGGTGCTGCATGGGGGCACGGTGCCCTGTTCCTGCCAGCCTCTGTCCCATGAACCTGGCCCGGATCTTCCTTGTCCTTGCTCCCTGGAGCTGGGTGGCTCGCAGCCCTTCCCTTTACCGACACTGGCCCCTACCCTGGGGGTCTTTAAGAAGAGGCTGGATGCCTACCTGGCTGGACTCATTTGAGTCCCATCTCTCTTTTTGGGGTTTTTTTGTTGTTCTCCCGCCCTGGCGGGGGGTCGGGCAAGAAGATCTACTAGGTCCCTTCCGACCCTTAATCTATGAATCTATGAATCTATGACACCCTGAGTGCGGGGGGTGCGTCCTGTTTCCCATTCTTTCCTCCTCCGCGGGGGTCACCCAGGGAGAGACCGGGCTCACGGCACCCATGCTGGTGCTGGTGACCATGCCATGGCTGTGGGTCAGACTGCACTGCATGGGTTAGCAGGTGCCTGGCACGGCTGGTGCAAGGGAGAAGCCAGAGTGAAGCTGCCCCACAAGCAGCAGCCCCCACCCAGGCAGGGCCCAGCCTGACCCCGCTGCCTACCTCACCGTGTGGTCTGCTCCAAGGACACGGGGCACACGCTGCAGCAGGGGCTTCTGTGTCTGCTCCGGGGCTACCAGATACTCTGACTCCAAGCGAAAGTGAAAGCAAATCACAAGACTTGCCCCACCCTGTTACCAGGTTCCTGACCAAGCCCAGTGCAGAGCAGGGCTCCAAGCTACTCCACCAGGCGCCTGCCCAGCGCCCAAGACTGGGGGCACCGGCATGACCCCTGGGCCAGAGCAGGGCTGCGTCCACAGAGCATCACGGAGCACGTGGCTGGACCTGCCCAAGCCGGGGCCAGGACACCTGGGTCCCCCATGCAGCCCTGCCTGCTCAGTGCCTTCTTGTCCCACTGGGCCCCATGCCACAGAGCCTCAGGTGCCACCACCGCCCTGGGCACTGTCTGCCCCGTGAGCTTGTGGGCATCCTACTTGCAGGCGCAAGTCCGGAGGCTTGGGCTTCGGGTGCCTGAGTTTTCATAGTTTCATAGTTTCTAGGGTCGGAAGGGACCTGAGCAGATCATCTAGTCCGACCCCCCGCCATGGCAGGAAGAGCAGGGGGGTCAAACGACCCCAGCAAGGTGTTCATCCAACCTCCTCTTAAAAACCCCCAGGGTGGGAGCCTGCACCACCTCACTTGGAAGTGAGCCATCAGGCTCTTGGAGCAAGGTCCTGAACCAGCCAGAAGAGCAGTTCTCCCAGGCGCGCTTTAGGAGAACTGCCTTCATGGACACAGATGCATCGTATTTCCCCTGCCAGGTTAAGCAGCCACTACGCTTGAGCTGAGTCTTCAAGAGGCCGGCGGGGGGCGGGAAATGCACTGGCTGTGCCAGCCGCCCCTGCCCTTCCCGTCCCTGCACCTCCCGACTGCCCCCAGCCCTCATGCAGGGCTCATCGCCCCCCACCTGGGCCGTGCAGGCGAGGCCCCCCACCGCTGTCTCCCAGGCCAAAGGGGCTTTTCAGCTTTTGCTGCCGGCACTGGGGCTGCCGCCTCCTCCTTGCTGCCCAGGGCACAGGCACAGGGCTCCTCCAGCCCTGACACAAGAGCCAGGGCCGCGGGGCAGGGTGGGGTCCGGGGCCCCAATGGACAAATGACGCAAACAGCAGGCATGTGGAGCCCTGGCAGGCGGTGCCACCCCTGCAGGACCCAGAGAAGCGGAAGGTGGCAGGGAGCAGCGATGCGGCTGCAGCTGTGATGGGCGTCCCACAGGAGAGGCTCCCAGCATCAGATCCCTGGCATACCCCCTCCCAAGCACGGCCTGGCGCTCTCCCTCATGCCCGGCTGGGCATGGAGTCGTGACGCTGCCCAAAGGCAGGGTGCAGGGCCCTGGCCTGAGGGACCCATGGGACCTTCCCACCCTCCCGTGCTGCCGGAGCCCTTGCAGACCTGGCAGTAGACACAGCTGCCAAGAGGCTTTGCCGGCTGGCGAGCAGCCTGGCTCCATGCGGCCACAGGCCTGACCCACTGTGGGGCCAGCCCATGGGGCGACGTGCTAAGTGAAGCCACCCCACCAGGTAGGGATGCTTTGTCCCGAGCTGGCTGCGGGGCCAGGGTGGCTGGCGCAGACATGCCCATGCACCGTGCAGCAGAGTAGGGACCCTCCCACCATCGGGGCTTCCCAGTGAGGGCAAAGGGCACCACGGCAGGCAGGTACCACAGCTTCCACGAGCAGCCAGCTGGGTGCTGGACTGGTGCCTGGGACAGGGCCCCAGTGCCTGGATGATGGTGCCTCCCCACACCCTTGCTCCCTCCCGTCCACGCAGGCTGCAGGGCACCACGGCCAGCTTGTAAAAACATACATAAATATATTTCCATCTCTGCAAGGGGGCAGGGGAACTGCAGGGCAGGGAGGGACTGGGTGTTGCGCCCAGCCGCGCCAGCGTACAAAACATATAAAAGGGGGCGGAGGGCAGGGGCCCGAGTCCTTGTGGCAGCGTGGCTCAGAACTTCCTCTTCCTCCGCCGGGCGGCTTTGGTCTGCAGGCGACTGCCCGGCTGAGCGCCTGCCGGCTCCTCCAGGTCCAGCAGGCAGGCTGCGGCCTCACCCAGGGACATGAGGGCCTTGGCCGGGGAATCCCTCAGAGCGGCATGGGGAGGGCTGCACCGGCCACCTGAGCTGTTCCCAGCATCATCCTGGGCCCTGGACAGGAGGTGCTGCCTAGGGGAGAGAGCAAGGCCTGAATGCAGCACTGCCTGGAAGAGCCCCCCTGGCACAACCCAGAGCCCGCAGGCCCTGGCCAAGGGCTGCTGCCACCACCCCGCTGGAGCTGGAGGCAGGGAGCCCCTGGCTGCTCCAAGCTCCGGTGGCAGAAGGGTGTGGGAAGGGCCACGGGGCAGTGATTTCCCCCCCAGCCTGATGGCCCCTGTGCCCCAGAGGGACCAGGATGCGGGCCTGGGGTAGGGAGAGGGGAGGCCTGGTTTATGAGAGCTCCCACTGACCTTGGGCTTGCTCCTGCAGACGATGTGACCCCCATGGCAGCACCTGCAATGAGAACACAAAACAGAGCTTCAGCCCTGGGGGCACGCTCGGGTGAAGGGGGCCTGCCTTGGCATAGGGCTGGGCAGGCACTGCCGGGCGCTGGGCCACAGTGCGGGGGCTAGGGGCAAAACAGTCCCGTTACCCTGCAGCAAGCAAGCGGCCCCTCTGCCAGGCACCAGCTTGCAAGGGGCAGGGGCAGGCCACTCTCTGGTGGGCCACAGGAGGAGACACTGGTGGCGTTACACCAGTGTTGGGTCCTTCCAGCGTCCCGGAGCGCTCGCGCTGCCCTGCTGTCTTGCTTGGGAACCGGACCGACACAGGGGTCCTGCCTCTCTTCAGGACACAGCTAGGACAGCCCACGCCAAGGGACGCCTGGGGGCACGAGGGGAGGACTTGCCCTTGGCTTCCCCCTGCTTTGCAGGGACAAGCGTCTCTGGGACACAGCAGCCAGACACGGTGCCAGGAACACACCAGTGACTACGAGCCAAAGCAAACAGAGCCAAGGGGTGCGGGTCATGTCTCTACCCAGCCCTCCACAAGGCAGGCCTCGAGGCCAGGACCCATCCCCGTCCCTGTCGCAGGGCCAGGCATTCCCACCTGCAGCCTTGCTCTCGGAGAGCTCCAGCAGGGCAAGGAGGCGGCCCTCGGGCCCGTCATCCTGCAGAAAGGAGAGAGCAGAGCGTCATGCTGCTGCCGGACCTTGGTGGCTAAGGCAGGCAGGCCCAGCCGAGGCGGCTGAGAGCAGTTCCCTCACAACAGGTGGCCCCGGGAAGGGGGTCGCAGGGCAGGAAGCCTGGAGCGCTGGGCCACTCCCACAGGCTCTGACCACAGGCCGGCCATGACCTCCCTGGAGCAGCTTCTTCGTGGGGGGCTGGAGACTACAATGCCAGCTCCTTCACAAGGCCCTTGGAGGTTCTGGTGGCCGGTGTGCAGCACCATCAGCTGGACCTTTGAGAGGTCCTGCTTTTGCCCACGGGGCTGCCATCTAGTCCTGGGGTCAAGGGTGGAGGGTGTGCCCAGGGACACCGATCCTTGCATCCAGCAATGCCAACGTCCCACAGGCCCAGGATGCCAGGGCAAGGCAATGTCACCCTGGCTGACTCCTCTTCAGCCACCCCCAACGTCATGGTTCAACCCGGCCCTGGATGCTCTGCTGCGGCAATCCATGCCCTGCAGCCCGCAGGCCAAGGCTGGGCAGAGGATGGCAGCCCTGCTGCACACATCCTGAGGGCAGGCACCCACAGGCACACCCCTCTGTCCCCAGCTGGTGGGGAGCACTGCTCAGGGAAACCTGTGCTCACCTTGGCGCTTCGCAGCCTCCTGGTGCCTAGCGCTCCCTCTGCGGCCCGGAGGCAGCCGTCCACATGGCGCTCGTACTCCCTGCGCGGCACAAGCAACTTGCAGAGGTAGCACTTCTCGCTCCTGCCGAGCCCGAGGGAAGAGCGGTGAGTCAGGACTCTGCTGACCACAGGCCTGAGATGCTGCCCTGCTCCCAAGCTGCCATCAGCACTGCCCGCCCGGCACCCATCACCACACTGGAGCAACTGCTGGCACCCCTTGCAGCTGCAGCAATGGAATGGGATGCTAATGAAGCTGGCTACTCTAATGGACAAGGCTCTCCTTGGATATGAAACACTGTCCCAGGTGGTTGCAACAGGCCCTGGGGCTCTGCTGAAGGAGCTGCACTTTGCCTGCAAGGCAAAGCAAGGGTGTGGAAGCAGAGCATCGGCTCACTGACAACCCCATCTGAGCAGCAAACCCTCTGCACTGCACCCAGCTCCACTCACCAGGCACCACCGCAGAGCAGAGCAGAGGGGGCTCTGGGCTCCGGAAGCCGAGGGCTTGTCTACGCTGGCACTGAACTCAGACTGGGCAGTGAGAACCTAAAGGGCCACAGCTCCTCCCGGACCCCCTCCAAGGAGAAGGACAAGGGGCACCCCAGCATGGCTACCCTGCAGCCATCAGGAGTGGGTCAACCACAGAGCATCTGAGCCCAGCGGGGGGAGCATGGCTTCCTCTGCCTCGACCCCCCATGCTCACTCTGCCATGCTCTTCTTGCGGTGCCTTTCCAGTCATTGCCGATTACCCAGATAACATGTCTAAACAGAAGCTGTCCTCTCTATAATTAGCCTAATTCCATTAGCGATGTTGCCATCCCCTGTTTGCAACAACAAAATTGCTTCCATGGCAGGGATCTCACTGTCAGCTCCTCTTCCAAGCTCCGGGTGGGTGGGAGGAGGAGGGGCTGGAGAGGAAGAGATTAAACAAAGCCACGGCTCTTCCAAAAGTCTAATTGAATTAAGACGATTCCTCCAGCTGCCATGTTGTCAGCTCCCCGTCCAGCCGGCTCCTCCTCTCAGGGCTCTGGGCTCCTCCCAGATGCTCGTAGGCCTGGCCCAGTTCATACCCAACAGCCACTCTCCAGAGCTACCACATAGCAAATGCCGCTGGCCTGCACACAGGTTGGGCTGGAAGCAACCCAGAGAAGCTAAGAGCCTGGCAGCCTCTGCTTCCCCCTGCCCCGGGCACCCAGGAGGCCCAGCTCCATGGCCGGGGGCAGGACAGAGGGTGTCCACACGAGCCAAGGGAAGCCGCCTACCTACTTACTTGTCAGTGTCCCTGGGTGGTGGGATGCCCCGGACCACTCTGCTCTTGGCTTCTCTCTGCCGCCGCGTGAGCACTGGAACGCAAGCAGAAAGCCTCACT